TACTGACAGAGACTGACCGCAAGCGAACCAGCCTTCGTTTGAAAAACAGCTAGCCAGCGCAGGGGACGCATTCGACCCGACCCCACGCACCTTGGGATGGGTCGCCGTCGTCCTCCTCTACGCTGGCAATGGGAAAGCCAGAGAGGCCGTCCCACAAGGCCAGATCGGCCTGGAAAGCGGGCGGCGGAGAGCACTCCTGCCCCGTCCACCCCACCCCCACCCCCCCCACTCCCAGCCCCGACAGGAGGAGAAAGAGCAGGCAGAGGCGGCAGTTCGGCCGACTCCAGCAGCCTTCGCTTCCGCAGCAAAATCGGAGGGCCCACAAAATCGCGGGCCCGTAAAGGATGGCAGCCTCGCATGAGGTTGCGCAGCCTGTAGTATCTCGAGTCTCTCACCAGGACCCCCTGCCTACGATTCATCGGTAAGCAATCCTGCGAAAGACCCTGGCTCTTCTTTTCCGAAAATGCCCCGCACAGAGAGCAGAACAGGAAAGGCCCCGCGCGGTGAAGTGCGTGGGAGCTGGACCTGTCGTCACATCGAAGCTGGCGAAGCTCCGAGCGTGTCCTCGCTGACCGAAGGCACACCATGCATCGGAACCTGTGCGCAACCACCGTCACTGCAGGGTCGAAACGCGAGTGCGGCTTCGGGGGACCAAGTCCCCCCTCAATCGTGCCTATGGCACGGCCGAGTATTTGCGCTTGGGCGTCACGTGGCGTGACGGTGCCGATCCGAGCGACCAGCCTGGTACAGAACTGGGCTACAAGGCGGATGGCGCTGCGCGACGCGCCATGCGCAGATCGCAGCTGGAGGGAATCACTAAGCATGGCGGCACCCCATTTAGCCGACTGATCAGCCTGGGCATTGCCGACACGCTGCCATTCTGAAATCCGTCCCTCTGCTACGGCAGAGGCAGGAGTATGCGCTTTGACGTGAGAAACCTCCACCGACTCACCCCCACGGTCAGACACAAGCCTCAAAACCTCCCTCCAAAGTAAGGCAAGCGGGTCACTCGCAGCGGTGCCCGCTCCAACGCCTTGGCGCCAGACATCCACGAGCGGCTTGCAATCCGTATAAAACTTCATCTGAGCTCCCATATACCTCAGCGCCATCAAGAAACTGAAAAGCTCAGCCGCTGGCACAGATTGAATGAGACAGGGCAGAGGGCCATGCAGGCGAGCAACCACTCGCTTGCTGTCGTCAAGCGAACAGAGTCCCCATCCGCAGCGCCGTAAGCGAGAGAAACTTCCGCGCCTCCCCGACCCATCACCGAACACGTGCACGTCGAGCAGCAAGTCGGGAGACCGCACCGTCCACACGACTCGCTCCTCGAGGCAGGGGCTCGGGAAGAGCCAAGCAGGGTCAGGGACAAGAAAGCGCGTGAAAAGCAAGGTATCCACCGCAGCAGCTCGAGCCATATCTAGCATTTGACCAGCCATGGCACTGCCAGCTCTGTAATCCCGACGGAACTCGGTATGCAGGGGGCAATCGTAGAATCGGTGCCAGGTAGATCCAGCACTCTGACAGGCAAGGCAGCTCGGGTTGACGGCTCCACCTGACTCGTACAGTCGCTCCTGCGACCAGAAACCTCCTGCAAACAGGCACCGCAGCAGTCCCTGATGCCTTGGGGTCCAGTCAGGGCCTCGGACAGAATGAGGCTGGAGGAGGGACCTCAGGGGCTCCACGAGAGGAGGATGAGGGCAGGGCGAGACCCACGAGGGATGCTTCGCGAGAACCTGGCGCCACACCCACCGCTCGGTGGCCTCATCAACTAACCTACCTCCATCCTTCGGGGAAATCTGTTCAATTGCAAGAAGACCTCGGTGGGTCTTCCAATGAAAAGGGTCAGATACAGACCAACCCAACCGCAAAAGTGTCGCAACTAGCGCAGAAGCAGGTCCGCGAATGTCAGACCAAACTTGAGACACAGGAACTCTAGACATGCGTGTCCATGCTCCACTCAGAAGTCGCGCCATATCTGCTCTGGGGGCCCATCCGTCCCACAGCGCCTGCAGCCAGAGGAAGATCGGGCTCCTGTTGCACTCGAAGGCGGGGTCGACCTGCGGCCCAGCCTGCATGAGGTCCAATGAGAGGATGATGATGATGATGATGATGATGATGATGATGCTGAGGAGGAGGAGGAGGAGGACGGATGGAGAGGAAGAGGCGGATGAGGAGGAGGAAGGAGGAGGAGGAGGAGGAGAGAGGAGAGGGAGGAGGAGGAGAGGGAGGAGAGGGCGGAGGAGGGAGGAGGGAGGAGGAGGAGGAGGAGGAGGAGGAGGAGGAGGAGGGGAGGAGGAGGAGGAGACGAGGAGGAGGGGTGGAGGGAGGAAGAGGAGAGGAGGAGGAGGAGGAGGAGGAGGAGGAGGAGGAGGGGAGGGAGGCGGAGGCGGAGGCGGAGGCGGAGGAGGAGGAGGAGGCCAAACCACATCCGAGAATGGGACGAGGCCGCCAGGCTCGAACGTGACGCTGCTGTGCGTCGACGCGGGACGCCGCCTCTTGCTGGGCGCTGCCCCCCTCCTGCCGCCTCCGCCCCCCCCTCCGCCCCTGCCGCTCACTCACTGCCTCACCCTCTGCCTTTTATGGCCCCCTAGGCTGTGTGCGCAGAGGTCAGCTTCAGAGGCGCCGAGAGTGTTACCCCGAAGGGAGACGACGGAAGGCCCTCGAACTCACAGAGCTCATCGCCGACGTACCGTTCGGGCTCTCATCCCGGCGCTCGCCCGAATACTGTATTCATGCGAGCGCTGTGTTGAGCTCTCGTATTCAAACGAGCGCTGTGATGGTACTCGTAGCAGTGGCAGCTCCCAGCTGCCATTATTACATTACCATCTGTGCCGCCGTGCGTTCCTCTCGCTTGCCCCGCTGCCGCTCCGCCTCGCCTCTGTCCTGCCCGTACTCCCGCCTTCTTCCTTCTCTTGGCACAGCCGCTGATGCCGCTGCCGCCGCTGCCGCCGCTTCCGTTGCTGCCGCCGCTTTTGACGCTGCCGCCGCTGCTGCTACCGTGGCCCGGCACGGGCAACATCGGACACTTTGCGCCACGCCTCAACCAACTTTCGAACTGCGCCGCGCTGCGCTGTCCCAGGCTGGCTCCGCTGCTGCGCGCGGACGCGCGTCAGAGGCGTGACGCGACAGGGCCGCCGCCGGGGTGCCGGTCGATGCGCGATTCGCGCAGCCGCCACCGGGCCTGCTCCCTGAAAGCCGCCACGTCCTCCAGGTGGCGAGATTGCCCGTGGGCGGGGGGGGTGCGAGGAGGCAGGCGAAGGGCGGAAGAGGGAAGGAAGAGGGATGGAAGACGAGGAGGAAGGACGAGGAATAATGAATATGGATGGATGCATGGATCCATGGATGGTGATGGTGATGGTGATGGTGATGGTGGTGTGATGATCGTGGTGATACTGATGAGGGTGAGGGCGATGATGATCTGATGGGGATGTGGATATGATGATGTTGATGCTGCTGATGATGATTATGATGTTGATGGCGATACGATGATGGTGCTGCTGATGATGATGGCGATTTTGATGGCGATGGCGATGATGCTGATGCTGCTGATGCTGCTGATGATGATGATAATGGATATGATGATGATGATGATGATAATGATGGTGATACTGACGATGGTGATGGTGATGATGGTGATGATGGTGATGATGGTGATGCTGACGATGGTGATGGTGATGCTGGTGATGGTGATGATGGTGATGATGGTGATTACGATGATGATGATGATGATGATGATGATGATGATGATGATGATGATGATGATGATGATGATGGTGATGCTGCTGCTGCTGATGATGATTGTGGTGGTGATGGTGATGGTGATGGTGATGGTGATGGTGATGGTGATGGTGATGATGATGATGATGAGGAGGAGGAGGAGGAGGAGACCTCCCTTTAGTACACGGTGGACAAACCTCCCTTTAGTAGACTCGGCGGTGGACAAACCTCCCTTTGTAGACCTCCCCTTAGTGAAAACGGCCTGGGACCGAAACCGACGGACCTGGACCCGCAAAAAGACGGCCGCGACGCCCTCTCGCGAACCGAAAACGGCCAATTCCTGAATCGACGTGTCAGGGTAGGTCTGTCCACCCCCGAATTACACCGACCTTGCAGACGAGCTGCAGCGAATTTTCGCGTGGATTTCACAGCGCAGAACCCCGAAGCGGCGCGCGAAAAAAACGACGTAAACGTCACGTGGACGTTTTGCAGTCTTCACTCCTGGCCGGACAGAATCCGTGCAAAAAATCACTTCGAAATCCGGAGCGACATTCTCCATGACAATCTGGGCCCATCCCAGGATCTTCCGAGCGAAATCCTCTCTGCGATGCTGGCGCCATGGCACTCGCCGCGCCCAAGCGAAACTGCAACTTTGGGGGACAGCCCAGGTGCGGAGGCGAGCGCTCGGCTCGCTGGCGTGCGGCCTCGCCTCTGACAGCTGGGATGGGAAAGCACACATGCGCCACGCTCAAAACGGCGCGCGAACTTCAATATCGGGCAATAACAACATTGCACTCTCGCGTGCGTCCCCTCCGACGACGACGCGGCGAGAAGACGAAGCACGCGCCTCACCCAGGCGGCACCGCAACTTCGGGGTAGCCTCTGTGCGAAAGCGAATGCATGACTCCGTTCGCTGGCGTGCGGCCCCGCTCGAGACAGCTCCGTCGGAGAGAGACATCTGCGCGCCGCGCCTGCGCGGGACCGCAAGTTTCCAGACACTTCAGCGCTGCGCTTGAGCGAGAACAGTATGTCGCTCTCGAGCGCGGCCCCCTCTCCCGATGACTCGGCGAACGAGAACCACGCGCCGAGCACACGCGAACACACAATGTGGGAGCCGTTCCGGGCGCGGGAGCCGCAAGAAAACGTTCCGCTTGCTGGCGCGCGGCTGCGCTTCTGACAGCCTGGCTGAATGGAGCCGTGCGCCGCGCCTGCGCAGGAACGCAACTGTCGGGACCAGGGCTGGACCTAAACATTGTTTTTCGTTTTTGTTGTTGTTTTGTTTCTCGTTTTGCTCTACCTGTTGTCCTGTACCTCCCTGCCAAAACGAAAAACAAAGCACAGCCGAAGTCCAGCAAGACCGCGTTTAGGTCCAGCCCCGGTCGGGAAACGGCTGCGAAACGCCTTGGCGAGAACAGTTCTTCGCTCTCCCGCGTGGCCCCGCTTTCGAGGCCTCTTCGATGGGGTCCGACTGGATGGTGTCGAAGAGGATCGAGCCGCACCGCCGACGTGACGCATCAGCGATGTGGCCTGGTGTGGAGCCCGACTGTCTCCACGCCGACGTCGCCGATTCATCGGCAGTGCGTCGGCGATGCGGCGCGATCCTCCGACTCCATCTGCTCGGACCCCATCTGAGCGACGAAGAAAAAACGGGTCTCATGCGAGATTGATAGCGACCTTGCGCCGCGGCTGACGCGGGCCGCCATCGTGGCGCGCCAGCTTGGAGACGAGGGCGCTCACACGCGACCTTACGCGGGGTGCTTACACGCCAATGTTGGTGAAAACGCCCCTCTCTTTCTGCGTCGCCCATGTGGGAAGTCCAAACGCTTCCTTAGAAGAAGAACCAAACGGCATAAACAAAAACTTGTGGCGCTCCGCGCGGACTTCTCGGATCTGCGCTGGACCCCCTCCCCGGCGCGCGGAGCGCGCCAGGGTGCGGCGCTGGAGGCGCCGCTGGGGGGGGGCCTAGCTCGGATCCAAGAAAATCCGCGCGGAGCGCCAAACATTAATATGTTTATGGCGTTTTTTTCTTGGATTTCACTGACCGACCTTGCAGACGTGCTGCAGCAGATTTTTGCATGGATTTCTGTCAATGCAGACTCCAGAAACGGCGAGCGAAAAAAAAGTGAGTGAATCTCACGTTCATTTTCTGTAGTCTTCATTCCCGGCCAGAACAAATCCGCGAGTGAATCTCACGTTCATTTTCTGTAGTCTTCATTCCCGGCCAGAACAAATCCGCAAGAAAAACATTCCCCAGGACCATGCGGGCCCATCCCAGTGTCTTCCGAGCGAACTTCGCTCTGCGGTGTTGGCGCCGTGGTCGACTCCGACTCTCGAAGAGCGTGCGCCGCGCCCAGGCGGGCACACAGAGTGCCGCGCGACGGGGCCGCGCGGCGGAGAGGCGGGGGCGGCGAGGTCGCGGGCCGGTGTGCGCGGGCCGCCGCCGCTCTCCAGCGACGTGGCGGGCGACATATGTACGCGCCGCGCCCAAAGAGGCAGCACAATTGTCAGGGAACGCCTGCGCGGCGCTGAACATGAATGTGAATATGCATATATATATATATACACCTGTATGTGTGTGTATATATACAGGTGTGTGTGTGTCTCTCTCTCTCTCTCTCTCTCTTTCTATATATATATATGTATATATATGTATATATTCGTACGTACATGCGTACAGACATACATACACATATACATATGGCAGTTTTTCGGAAATCCTGAACCCAACAAAACTCTCATTATCTCTTGGAGGCGTTTCTTTTACTTCCGCCGCCTTCCGTCGGCCTCCCGCCGGCAGAGGCGGCCTCGTTTGACTTAAACTGACCTTCCGCCGCCCTTCCACCGCCCGTAGCGGCGGAAGAGATGACAACTCCTTCGATCCTCGAAGGCAAGGCCTTTTTTTGGAATGCCCCATATAGATGTGCGTATATCTGTATGTACATACATACACACGTGTAGACATCTACACATCTATATGTTAGCCAGCGTGGGCCCCAAGCAGTGTGTGTCCAGTAATCTCGGTGGTGCAGCCTATGAAGTGCACTTCGCCCTGCCGAACCTGAGACTGTCAACCCCACTGCTCGCGCCACCATCCCAGCCACCCACCCGCAGCTTGGCTTTCAAAACCCATGCGGCGGCGATTGCGATGACTGCTTGGCGTTGACTGGCGCGACCGATGCGGCCGCGGTGGCACTGGCCGCTGGGCACTTCCCAACGCGTCCCGGAGGCCGCGCTGACGCTTGGGCACTTCAGTGCGAGTCGGTGGCTCGGACGGGCGCGGAATCATGGCGACGTTGGCAACGGCAGACACGATGGTGATAGTAGCGATGCTGGTGACGACGCTGACAATCACGACGGCAAGGCCAATGGAAGGGTGCCGATGTTGAGCACGCCGATGACGATGATGGTGTCCACGTGTCGGTAATGAAGGTTCCGGACGGATTTCGACATGAAGCGCGGCCGACGGGCGCGAGTGGCCCGCTTGGCGCTACTTGACAGGGCTCGTGCCCTTTCTCACGCGCGCAAGGGTGTTCGAATGATTTCGACATGCGCGCGCGAAAGGCCCGCTTGGTCGCGTTTGATGAGCATGTTGGAGAGCCAATGGTTTCCTTATGAATTCGCAGTTTGTCAAATGCAAGCAATGTTCTGGGAACGCACACGTATACAGAGAAAGAGAGAGAGAGAGAGAGATGGAGAGAGAGAGAGAGAGAGAGAGAGAGCGGAATAGAGAGAGAGAGAGAGAGAAAATCGAGAGAGAGAGAGAGGTAGAGAGAAAGAGAGAGAGAGAAAGAGAGAGACACAGAGAGAGAGAGAGAGAGAGAGAGAGAGAGCGAGGAAGAGGGAGGGAGCGAGAGAGAGAGAGGGGAAAGAGATAACGCAGGACACACGCAACCACACATGTACACAAGCATACAAGCACACAAGCACACAAACACACGAGCACACAAACACACCAACACGAACACACAAAGACAAACACACACACACACGCACGCACAAACAAACACACAACCACACACAATCATACAATCACACAAACACACACATACACAAACACAAACGCAAACACACACACAACATACACCACACACCACATACAAAGGCAAACACACACACACACACACACATGCGCGCACTTTTTGGCGTCGCGGCCCCGCGCGCAGCGACAGGGCGTAGGACCACGCAAACAAACACACAAACACACATACATACACCACACACAACACACAAACAAACACATGCACGCACACAAACACACAAGGAACAACAACGCATTTTGGCCTTTCGCGCGCATTGTGCGCCACACCTCGACGACAAAACGTCTATGTTGACGCGAAACATATGAGTTTTTTTTCCGAATTGTAGGCGACGGCCACCAGCTTGTGCCGCTATTATGGCGCAGTGTATGGGAACAAGAGTATGTATCGCCGGGCCGTTTGTCCTGAACGCACTCAAGTGGACGACGCCGACACCAAAGCAAGCTCACGGAAAGCCCTCCGTCCCGCACCCCAAGGAAACGCAGCTGGCACATCGGCAAACCCACCGCGTCCGAGGCGGAGTATGCCTTGCTGGCCGCAACACCCTCCCCACGACGCAAGGCCACGCGTCGGAACAAACGGTGCGGCGAAATATACAAACCAAGGAGTACGAACAGTAGGACATGGAGGGAGAGGAGGCTAGGGGGCGGACCAAGATGGACGAGGATGGGGTATGGATGAGGACATTGACGAGGAGGAGGAAGAAGAGGAGAAGGAGGAGGCGGATGAGGAGTGGGCCTCAACGCCATGCGCCCAACGAAATCGAAGCTCCAGGAGACCGAGACTCGCCGGGGGATCGCTCGACATTCGACGTCTTGCAGGCTTACACCGAACGACGACCACTGTCTGACGTAAAGTCTTAAGCGCCTTATGGGCGCGCCCTGGCACCGTGGAATCTCCATTACCCGAGGGGCTTCCAGCGTTTGCAGCTGCGTGTGGATGTAGACGCGGCGGCCCCCAGGGGCCCCCGCAAGCTCCCAGAGGCCCCCAGAAGCCGAAGCACGTCAAAGCACAATGAGGACACACCTCCTTCTCCTCCTCCTCCTCCTCCTCCTCCTCGTCGTCGTCGTCGTCGTCGTCGTCCTCCTTGATTGCTCCATGCCTGCTCCGCTGCGTAAGATCCCACCATGCAAGCATGTGACACCTCCTCCTCCTCCTCCTCCTCCTCCTCCCTCTCCTCCTCCTCCTCCTCCTCCTCCCTCTCCTCCTCCTCCTCCTCCTCCTCTTCTCCTCCTCATACTCCTCTCCTCCTCCTCCTCCTCCTCCTCCTCCTCCTCCTCCTCCTCCTCCTCCTCCTCCTCCTCTCCTCCTCCTCCCCCTGCGACGGCGAAGCACTCCTCGGGAGACCACACGCGGTCGCAGCTCTCCGCGGCCGCCCCGGGAGCTCCCGGCTCGGCGTCCCCGCGCTGGCTCGCCACCAGCACGCACAGCGCTGGCGCGCCTCGCAGGGACCCGACGAAGCGCCGCAAGTCCTCCAGGCCGAGCGCCTCTCGGGTCGGGCGAAAGGGGGGGATACCAGAGGGGGGGTTTGAGAATCAGCTCACGCAGCTGATTTTCCCGGCGCCTCCCGGCGCCGGGGAGGCGATCGAGGGCCCCTCGGTGGGGCCGAAGCCGGCTGCATGCAGCAAATTTCGTACCCCCCCCTTTCCCAATCCCCCCCTTTCGTCCGGCCCGAGCCTCCAGGCAGGCGGCCTGCTCCCGCCTTCAGGGACGAAAGCTGGGCACGGCCGCGCGCAATTCAAAGCGCGCGCGCACGCACACGCGCGCACGCACACGCGCGCAAGCACGCACGCTGTTCTGCTTCGCGGCCAGCTGGTCCAGCACAGCGAAGGCGATAGTGGGATGCCCTGAGCAGATTGCCGCCGAACGTGCTGATGGGACGCCAACTGGAGGCGGTTGACGGATGCAGAAAGAGGTGCCGAAGCCCTGCACGTGCGGAAACATGCGGTGCACGCACGCAAACATGCACACACACATTTCCTCTACCGGCCGAATGGGTACCACCGCAGCGTGTACCAAGGCGGGGCGCGCTTCGTCCAATTACCACACGGCGTTGCAGGTGGCGGGCCAGGACGAAGGCTAACGCATGCACAAGAACCGCAGAACCGGATGCAGGTGGACAGTGCCAGAAGGCCATGCACAAAAGAAGAACAACAACGACAGAAACATAAACTTGTGGCGATCCGCGCGGATTCCTTGGATTTGCGGTGGACCCCGCTCCCTGGTGCGCGGAGCGCGCCTGGGGCGGCGCCGGAGGCGCCGCCGAGGGGGCCCAGCGCGGTTCCAAGAAACCCGCGTGGAGCGCCAAGAGTTTATGCTTATGGGCGTGTGGGCGGGGCCACGCGCACGAAAAGCACTTTTCTTCCGTCGGCGGCGAGGCAGAGGTGGCAGCACCAGCGATAGAGCTAGGCGGGGGCACCGAAACGCAAATTGCCCAGCATGCAAGAACGGGAAGAGGGCAGAGCGGGCGTCCGCGGGGGGGGGGGACGCACACACACACACACACTCACGCACGCACGCACGCCCACTCGCGCACACACTGTTCGGTCGCACGCAGCTGCGGGTGACGGCCGCTCGGGCGCCCCCAGGGGGCGAAGTCGCGCTCCATGTAAGCGAGGCTACCGGGGCTCGACCCTGGCAAGCTGGCAAGTGTCAGCAGAGGGCAGCACATCCCCCCCCAGGGTGATCCGCCCCGACGAGCAAGGCCGTTTAGTGAGCGCACCCCAAGAAGGAATCGAACAGGGCTGGGCGGTTTCGTGAACGCCCAGGGCCGTTTAGTACACGTCCGCTGTCGGGTCCAGGTGGATTCTCCTCCCGTGCGCCACGGGGGGACAGCGCCGGCCCCTCACGGGGCAGTGGCGGAGGGCGGCAAGCGGCGAGCGGTGGCGGGGCGCAGCGGGCGGCGGCGCCTCGGAGGGGCGGCGGCGGGGGCGGGCAGCGGCGGCGGGGCCAGCGGCGCCAGCGACCAGGCCGGCGAAGGCGCGTCCAAAGGGACACGCGCGTCGGCGAGCGCCACCGGGGCGTCGGAGAGCAGCCGCCGCCGCTCGAGGGGGACGCACGAAACTGCGAGAAGAATTTCTGCTGCGCGCCGGGGGGCGCCGCGGACGCCCCCAGAGAAGCAGGACCGGCTCGCGCACGGAGGCGCGGGTGGCCAGGGCACGCCAGCGACCCTCACGGTGAGGCCGTCGCTGTGGATCCGCTGGCGGCGCGAGGCGCTGCTGAGCTGTGGCGATCCGCACTGCTGCGAGAAGCGACGCAGCGGTGCCGTCCGAGGATCCTGGGGAGGGGCGGCGGCGTGCGCGGGCCCCGAGCGCCAGGGCTCGGTGGCAGAACGCACACGGACACACACGCACGCACACACACAAATACACTCACACGTGCACATACCCACACACACCCACACACACGAACACACATAGGCACACACAGGCATGATTACGCACATGCGCACATGTTCAGACACACAGACATACGCACAAGCACACACACACGCACACGCACACACAACACACACAACACACAATATTTTTACACGTGTCCGCCACCGTGCCTCCTGGCACGTTGAGGCGTGCTAAACTGCCATGTGCCGTCTGTAGTTGTTTCTTCTATCTTCTAAGGGACCTCCCCTAGTCGCACTTCGCCGCATGCACTGGCCCCCTCTCCCTATGCCAACATTACATGAAAAATGCGACAGGTTCGCACCGCTGAGGCCACAATCCTTCGTGGAATGCGACGCATTCGAGCTCCCGAAGCCAAGATGCCACCAAGACAGCCCAAGAGTGCTCCAAGACGGACCAAGAGGCGCCCAAGACCGCCCAAGAGGGCCCCAAGAAGGGCCCAAGAGGGCCCCCAAACGGCCCAAGAAGGCCTCCAGGGCCCCCCCAAGACTGCCCCACAGAAGGCCAAGACAGCCACAAGAAGGCCCAAACGAGTTCCATGAGGGCTTCTCAACTAGTGACAACGAAAGGTGACGCATGTGCCAGACCTTCTTTCCGCCTCTTCCTCCTCCTCCTCCTTCACATCCTCTTCCTCCTCATCCTCATCCTGATCTTCCTCCTCCTCCTCATCGTTCTCCGCCTCCTCCTCCTCCTCCTCCTAACCACCACCACCATCATCACCACCATCATCACCATCACATCACCATCAACATCCATCATCAAAATCACCATCAGCATCAACATCATCATCCTCATCATCGTTCCAATCTTCGTCATCATAATGGTCATCGTCATCGTCATCATCAACATCATCAACATCATCACCACACTCTCCATCTTCACCATCATCATCGTCATCACTATTGCCGTGATCATGATTACCATTGCCATCATTACCAGCATCATCATTACCATCTTCATCATCATTATATACCACCATGCCCATAACCATGACCATCATCATTGTCATCACCATCACTATCATCATCACCATCAGCATAACCATCATATTATCATTACCATCACCATCATCACCACCATCACCACCACAATCACCATCATCATCACAACCACTACCATCATCACAACACTCACATCATCATCACCATTGTTACCATTATCGTCATCACTTCCATCACCGTCATCACGATCATCATCACCATCACCATACTCATCATATCACCATTACCATCACCATGATAACCACCATCATCATAATCATCATCACCACTATCATCATCACCATCATCGCCATCACCTGCATCACCATCACCAACATCATCAACATAATCATCACCATCATCATCCTCGTCCTAATCCTCATTATCATCACCATCATCACCACCATCACAATCATCATAATCATCACCGCCATCATCGTCATCACCACCACAACCGCCACCAGCATCATCATCACCATCATCATCCTCATCATCATGATCACCATCACCATCATCATCATCATCACCATCGCCATCATCACCATTAAAATCACTATCACCATCATCATCACCATCATCATTACCATCATCATTACCATCATCATCATCATCATCATCATCATCATCATCATCATCCCAATCATCATTCTCATCATCACCACCATCATCATCATTCTCTCGTCATCACAGCTGTTCCAGCCCTGAAGACACGAGATGTCACGCGTGACGGCCTCCCGTGCCCCCTCGGACAGTCGCCACACAGAAGGCTGGGCTGGCGCGGTGGAGGGGACTTGCCGCAGGCAACTGGATATGATCAGATATGCATATATGCATATACACAAATGATGTATGTACATGTGTATATACATACATACATGCATACGTACATATCTATCGATGTATCATTATGTATATATATATATATATATATGTATATGTGAACCTTGTTTGTAAAACGTGCCCGGCCTGGCCAGCCGGCCTTTCTCGGGGTCCTTTGCCTTGGTTCCTGGTTTCTTGGTCTTGGCTTCCTCCTGCCTTCCTCGGGTTCCTTGGTGTTGGCCTCTTGGCTCCTCGGTCTTGACTCCTTGGCTCATTGGTCTTGGTTCCTCGGGCTTGGTTCCTTGCTGCTTCGCCAAGCAACGCCAAGCAACGCAAGGAAATGCCATGCAGAGCCACGCAATGCCAAGCAACATGCCAGCAACGCCAAGCAACACGCCAAGCAACCTGCCAAATAACATGCCGAACAATGCGCCCCACTTGGGGTTCACCCAGGCTCATGGAAGAACGGGCGGGTGCGCGGCCTGCCTCGGCCAGCGTCGCGCGGGGGTCTCCCTGGCCTTCTTTTTCCTCAGTGGCGTTGCTCGGGCCTCCTTGGCCCTGCTCCCTTGCAGGTGGCCCTCCCAGGCCTCGCCAAGCGACCACAGAAGGAGGAGCGCAGTCGGACTTGAGTGGACAGGACACCCGAGAGGACACGAGACTCTTCCGACGGCAACGTGGCACCGGGACACCAAATATGGGAACAAAAAGTGACATAAACATAAAAACTCGGAGGTCCGCGCGGATTTCTCGGATCGGCGCTGGACCCCCCTCCCTGGCGCGCGGAGCGCGCCAGGGGCGGCGCCGGAGGCGCCGCCGGGGGGCCCCAGCGCCGATCCGAGAAATCCGCGCGGACCTCCGAGTTTTTATGTTTATGTCACTTTTTGTTCCCCTACCAAAAGACATGCGACCTGCACAGGTCGGGATGGACAGGACACAAGGGCACCCTCGACTCGGCATGGTCGACCCTTGCAGGTGGCCTTCCCTGCGGCGTTCCTCGGGGGCGCCCTGGCGCCCGCTCCTCGCGGTGGCCTGCACCGCGCCGGACCGCGGCGGCGCCGAGCCGGGGGCCCGTTCCCGAGACCAGTGCTCCGCGCGCGCGCCCTACTGCCTCGGCCGGGGAGGCCCGTGCACCGAGCGTGGGCCCGGGATGGGCCTGGCCTTACGCGTGGCGTGCCCCTCTGCAGGAGGAATGTTCAAACAGAATTAAAACAACGAAATAATAATGATAACGATAAGAAAAATAAAAACAACAATACTCATAATAACAACCATAATAACATCAATACTAATACTAATATTCATACTAATAACAATAATACTACTACTAATAATAATCATAATACTACTAATGATAATATTCATAATAAGGGGGCGAATTCTCGGCCATGTTTGCACATTCTCGACGACTTCCTGACTACTTTCTGAGTTTTTCCTCTGAATCCCGCCCGTGGGGGGACATGCCCGACCTGCTGTAAGCCTAGCCGGGATGGGCAGGATCAGTCAGCATCGACTCGGATCATCGGGTCGAAGCAGCAGGTACGTCGGATCGGGCTGCGTCGGCACGGGGTCGGAACCGGATCGAATCGACTGCGCCCAGATGCTCAACAATGCCACGCCAGCATCGGACCGCATCGGAGCGTCGGAATATCTAGATGCCCCAAAAGCGGCGGATTGCAAAAAAAACACTTTTTTGCAATCCGCCGCGGATTGCAATCCTAGGATAATTTTTGCAATCCTTCGTAAAAGCGGCGGATTTGCAATCCTTCGTAAAAGCGGCGGATTTGCAATCCTAGGGTTTTTTTGCAATCCTTCGGGCATAAACGTTCGACGGTCCGCGCGGATTTCTCGACTCTGCGCTGGACCCTCTCCCCGTCGCGCGGAGCGCGCTGTGGGGCGGCGCCGGAGGCGCCGCAGGGAGGCTCCAGCGCCGATCCGAGAAATCCGCGCGGCGCGCCGAACATGTATGCTTGCAGCGGAGGCCAGTCCACAAGAAACCCTCCACAAGAAACCCAACCCTGAGACCCCAGGACGTCCAGTGCTTCTTCGGCGTGGGAGCGCCACGCTGTCCCCCGGCAGAAGCCATCGAGACACGAGATGCAGGGCGCCCTGGAGGCAACCAGGGTTTTCCCTGGCATGGGCCCCCACTCTCTGCCGATCTCTTCTCCTAGGGAGCCCACCAAGGACGTACGCGCCCAGCTATGTGCATGAACACGGCCCCTTGACCCGCGAGACCGGCCGCGTGATGCGAACATCCGCGCCAGGCGAACTCTGGAGACCAGCGTGGATTTTCATGTACGTGTACGTCCTTCTTTCGCCCCTGATCTTCGGACTCCAGAGATGCAGGGCGCCCTGGAGGCAACCAAGGTTCTCCTTGGCATGGGCCCCCACTCTGTGCCGATCTCTTCTGCGAATTCCAGTGGAGCAGGGACCGACCGTCCCGGCATTCCTATAGTCATACCACGAAGTGTTCTTAGAACCCAGAAATGTTCTAAGAACAAAAACAATGTTCTTAGAACATAAACCCGATGTATTCAAACAAGACAGACTCCACTAGAAATGTTCTGAGAACATTTCGTGGAAACCACAAAGGGTTCTTAGAACATTCTTAGAAACCAGGACGCTTCTTGATGCCGAGGCGGGTCGCAACGGCACCCGCAGCGGGTGCGCGCAGTGCGCAGCTTTCTGCCGCCGCCCCGGCCCCGCCGGAGGCCGAAGCGCAGGCTGCGCGCGGCGACCTCGGCCCAGTGCGCGCCGAACTCCTCCCCGAGGGACTTGTGCCGCTCCTGTGGGCACGCCGGGCACGGGCAGCGGACACGGATGCAGTGAAGGGGCCCTGGGACACACACAGAAATACACACACAAATGACAGGATTCTCCATATTTTCTTATATTTTTCTGTGTTTTTGTTATCCCCCCAATTCCCACAGGTCGACGGTCCCCGCGTTCTCCCCTCCTCCTCCTCCTCTGTCCCCTCCTCCTCCCCCTCCTCCCTCCTCCCTCCTCCCACCATCATCATCGTCATCATCCTCCATTTCGGCACACCCCTCACACGCTTCGTGGCCCCATAGGGAGCCCCACCGAAGGCCCCAGTGCTGCCGCCCGCATGCGTCCCGCACACCCAATTCGGCACACCCATCACACGCTTCGTGGCCCCATCGGGCGCTCCACCGAAGGCCCCAGTACTGCCGCCCGCATGCGTCCCGCACACCCAATTCGGCACACCCCTCACACGCTTCGTGGCTCCATAGGGAGCTCCACCGAAGGCCCCAGTGCTGCCGCCCGCATGCGTCCTGCACACCCAATTCGGAACACCCCCCACACGTTTCGTGGCCCCATAGGGAGCTCCACCGAAGGCTCCAGTGCTGCCGCCCGCATGCGTCCCGCACACCCAATTCGGCACACCCCTCACACGTTTCGTGGCCCCATAGGGAGCCCCACCGAAGGCCCCAGTGCTGCCGCCCGCATGCGTCCCGCACACCCAAGTCGGCACACCCCTCACACGCTTCGTGGCCCCATAGGGAGCCCCACCGAAGGCCCCAGTGCTGCCGCCCGCATGCGTCCCGCACACCCAATTCGGCACACCCCTCACACGCTTCGTGGCCCCATAGGGAGCCCCACCGAAGGCCCCAGTGCTGCCGCCCGCATGCGTCACGCACACCCAATTCGGCACACCCCTCACACGTTCCGTGGCCCCATAGGGAGCCCCACCGAAGGCCCCAGTGCTGCCGCCCGCATGCGTCACGCACACCCAATTCGGCACACCCCTCACACGTTTCGTGGCCCCATAGGGAGCCCCACCGAAGGCTCCAGTGCTGCCGGCCCGCATGCGTCACGCACACCCAATCGGCACACCCCTCACACGTTTCGTGGCCCCATAGGGAGCTCCACCGAAGGCCCCAGCGGCCGCGCTCACATGTTTCGTGGCCCCATAGGGAGCTCCACCGAAGGCCCCAGCGGCCGCGCTCACATGCGTCCCCGCCACCCATCCCGGCACGCCCCTCACAACAACAGGTTTCGTGGCCCCATAGGGAGCTCCACCGAAGGCCCCAGTGGCACCGCCCGCATGCGTCACCACCCGCACCCAATTTGGCACACCCCTCACACGTTTCGTGGCCCCATAGGGAGCTGCACCGAAGGCCCCAATGGCGGCGCTCACATGCGGCCCCGCCACACATCCCAGTACACCCCTCACGCGCTTCGTGGCCCCATAGGGAGCTCCACCGAAGGCCCCAGTAGCGGCGCTTACATGCGTCTCCGCCACCCATCCCAGCAGCCCCCCCGCAGCAGCATCATGTTTCGGGGACGCATAGGGAGCTCCACTGGAGGCCCCAATGGCGGCCCTCACGTGCGTTTCCGCCACCCATGTCGGCACGCCCCGCGGAATGTTGCATGTCCCCATAGGGAGCTTCGCCGAATGTCCCAGTGGCACCCATCTCGGCACACCCCTCACACGTTCCGTAGTCCTATGGGGAGTTCCACTGAAGATGAAACCCGCAGCTGCGGTACTGACAACTGCATATGGTTGGGTTCTTCGCCAGGCTAATTGTCT